CAACACGACCATCATCAATATTCATACGAGGTCCATATGTGTTGAATATTCTGGCAATTCGAATTTCTAGGCCATGCTGCCTATGATGATCAAACATAAGAGTCTCTGCCATACGTTTACCCTCATCATAGCAACTCCTCACACCAATGGAGTTAACATTGCCCCAGTATTCTTCTGTTTGAGGATGCTGAAGAGGATCACCATAAACCTCAGAAGTAGATGTCAGTAAAATCCTTGCCCCAACTCTCTTTGCAAGCCCCAACATGCTTAATGTTCCAATGACATTTGTTTTTATTGTCTTCATAGGACTGTACTTGTAGAAAATAGGAGAATCTGGACAAGCAAGATGGTACATTTGATCAACCTCCACAAGTAACGGTTCAGTCACATCACTTTCCACTTGATATTCTTTGCAGCCCTTGAGTTCATTAATAAGGAAGAGATGCAACGGGGTCTTCAAGGGAAGTATGCCTTCAAGAATCTGATCATGACTTTCAGTATACGCAATACATTTCTCCATCCTCCAGTTCTCATCTTGTGATTTAAGAAGTTCGATCCACTTATCCGGAGCTGCCATTTGAAGACAGTAATCAAAACCAATGCCACCCTCTTCAACAGTGATGCAGAATTTTGTAGTGGCATATTGTCGAACAGTTTGAGAGCATTGTGCTGAATCAATTTTGTCCATAGAATTTAGACATGGGATTTCTACACCTGCAGTAACAATATAGTTATCATTTAACTCAACATCCCCATTTCTGCTGAATAAGCTTGATCTGTTGTATTGAATAAGCGGAGGGGAGTGAAGCCGGAGGTGAGAGAAATCGGAGTCAACTTGTATGTGAGGAGGAGATACTACCAGCCCAACGGCAAGGGCGAGGTCTTTTTGGAGGAATCGAGCAAGGCCGAGGTGGTTGGCCTTCTCCTTAGCCTTTCTTGACGTCGAAGAGCCTCTTCCAATTGCATGCTGCAGGAGGTCCTTGAATTGATAGTCCTGTTTCTTTTTTCCTGCACATAATGGAGAACGCCTGGTGCTGTCATGGTTTAGAATTAGGTGATTTCCATCCTTGAAACCCAAATAAGCTTTCTCAGCGTAGTCATCGAGCTCGGAAGCATTCAGACTGGTTGGTCTGGGAAGCCCCATTATCTCCCCCCTAGAGATGGACATTGCGGCAGGGCAGGTGGCCGCAGAGCCATTGGAATGGCAGCCGGAATCTGACGTCTCCTCATGCTTCTCTGATGACGGAGTCTCCAGGGCATTTGTAGGAGGCGCTTCATCGATTTCATCAATGCTGTGGAGCTTGTCATTCTCGATGTATAATCGAATATGGAGAAACCCTTTTTTGAACCACAGATTCTCCATGATTTCAGGAATGGTGATCCGCGTCTGGGAATTCGTATCCATAAGGCGAAAGAGAAGCTTGCCTTTCCTGGAGAGCGCCTCCTGCGCGACGTACGCTAAAGTACCGAAAAAGGTGTGGAAGAGCCAAAGCGGAGTGTCTGGGCGTGCTCGTGAATGCGTGGCCACACGATTTGGGGACTGATCGCAGACTTGTGAACATTCCGGAGGCCTGTAGGCTTGGTTCTTACGTTCGGGAGGTAGAGGGTGTCCGACGAATCGATCTCCTTCGACGGAGTCAGAACAGGCGGCAAAACTGGAATCCGGTTGTGAAAGATCGAGCTCACGCACACGTCGGGTCGGCGACTCGGAGGCTGGGTGTGCGGGAGTCTGGTCGGCGGAGGCCTGGTCGGCTGCTGGGGTTGCGGGAATCTGGTCGGCATGGGCCTGGTCGGCTACTGCCGTCAACTCCAGATGGGAGTCTAAGTAGGCGGAATGTGCGAGATCAGGCGGAATGTGCGAGATCTGGACGATTGTTTCGTCGGGTATGGAGTCGCGGTCGTCGCCAGGCTCGGATGCGGAAACAGTTTGGTCGGTGTCACCGTCGGCAGGTGAATGAGGGTAAGAGTCGGAGTCGGTGCGGGCGCGAACGGGGCGTGAGAGATCGGGATCGACGGGGACCTGATCGGCTGCTGCCGGCATCGCCAGAACGGCGGCTGATGCCGGTATCGCCAGATCGACGGGAGGCGGAGGAGCTCGATTCGAATGTTGGAACCGACGGGAATCACGGATCTGGCGTTGAAGCGGAGGAGGATCACGCCATTTGAGCGGAAGCTCGAGCGGCGGATACTCCGGCGGCGGGTCACGCCATCGGAGAGGGAGTTCGAGCGGCGGGTAATCGTCAACCACAATCGGTTGATTACGGATCCCTTTGCGGGCAGCGGAGTAAGAGGGGGAAGGGTATACCGGTGGCGGATCACGCCATTGGAGTGGAAGCTCGAGAGGAGGATAGTCATCGATCTCCCGTCTTCTTCGGCGCCGATCGTCGTCGCACGCCCATCTCCTTCGGTGGCGATCCTCGTCGTCCGCCCATCTTATTCGGCGTCGATCTTCGTCGACCGCCCTTGATCTACGGCTTCGAACGTCGTCGACAGCCGACCTTCTGCAATACATCGATCTTCGCAAGCTCCAGGCTCTGATACCAACTGATGTAGTGGATCGTCGGAAGTCGATACCTGCAAGAAGGATTTCAAGGAGTTCCCAATCCAGGGAAGAAGAAGAGAGCTTTCTCAAAGCTTCAAAAGAGTTTTTATCATTCAAATGCCTCAAAAACCATACATTCTAACTATTTAAGGGAGCAAATAGAAGACTCTAGACTAAAGGAGATAAACTAGTCCCTAAGCATAAGACAAGCTAAAATGTTCCCACATCAGTATTGCTTCGCCACAAATGAGCTCAAGTCAATCATCCACAATGAAGGGGGCACTCTGGAAGATTATCAAGTCTATTGTCAATGCAATTTATAATGTCTTATTCACATACTATGAAGGAAAAATCGTTGGAAGAAAATCTTTTAAATGTCCTTAGAACTGAACAAAAAGAGGATTTCAGTTAATTCATTTAGTCAGGCGATGCTGAACATACATACAACATATGAAATGTTGCATCAATCTCGAGTTTTTTAGGAGAGCACAACAAAGATGGTTAAGATTTCATTCGGGATAACTTTTTTGTTGTTTTTTAAGACCATTTTTAATATAAAAATTTCTTGACTTAGAAATTTTTGTACTAAAAAGTCGTTTTAGAAAGCAATAAAAAAGCTATCCCAAATAAAGTCAAAATCCATCTCAATTTAGCACAAAATTATAATTTTGTATAAAAAAATAGCACATGTATAGATAAATGAAGAAGTATGAGAAAACTATAGTTTTTATATGAAAAATTCAAAAAAGGTAGGCTTGATTCAATTGAAATGATTCTACTATGTTAGTATTGATTACAAATGTTTGCGTTGATTCTACTATGTTAGTATTGATTACAAATGTTTGCGGGTTTCTTAACTCGGAAATAGCAAGATTACAAGAGTGTGGAGGAATAATTAAAAATATGATAAAATTGTTTTCAGGTTAAAGGTGTAGCAGTAGATGAAAAAATTTACATAGGATCAAACAATCACAATGCATCTCATAGACCAAACAAATTAAAATCCTCTATCAAGCTTCCAAATATTGTCATCAAAACCAATCAATAATTGAATTGAAATCAATGCGCCATTCAAATAATCCAACTGAGCAAATATTTCACTCCAAATCAAATGAAAGTTTCAATCACAAAGAATCATACAATCAAAGCAAAGAACGATTTCAACCAAAAATAAAAAGGTAATTCATATTTCAAATAGTTCAAGAATTTATTGGCTTATTTTCAGCCTTACTTAGGGGTGCAAAGAAGTCAAGTTGATCTTGAGTTAAGCTTAATCCAGGATCGACTCGCAAGCCAAATCAAGCCGAGCTCAAAAGAAGAGCTTCAGCTCGGCTCGTGCCATTGAAATGAGTTTGTTGAGCGGCTCAATTTAGTGGTTCGAGCTCTGCTGTGGCCCACCCCCGCCTTTCGTGATTCCGCCTTCCACGTTTGAACCCGCTCCTGCCAGGGCAAGCCTATGCATTGGTGAGGGTGGGCAATTTTTTAGGTATTAAAATTTTTAGTGATATTTTAGGTATTTGTTAGCAGTCGGTTCCAATTTTGCCCTAATGAAGTTGTAATGCAATATTATCAAAAATGCAAAACATATTATTAAACTTGTAATAATTTTTAATTTATTCATGATTGTCTGGTGTCTTATATTGAAAAAGACGTGTTCGATTTGATTCCCAATAAAGTTGTAATGCAACGTTATCAAAAAATGCAAAATAAATTATTAAGCTTGTAATAATTTTCAATTTATCAATCTTAATGATTTTGCTTTGAATTATGTTATCATTTTATTTTGAATTAGTCTATTTATATGCAAAATTTGCCCACTCTGAAATGAAAGGCTCGTTCCTCCCCTGCCTCCGCAATTTTGCCTTCCACTTGAGCGTTGTACGTCCGTGCCCGCAGTGAATCAACCTTATGTGGTTCTTATTCTGCACTCAAGTCACTCAAAAAGTAATCGAGCTTAGCATCCTGAGGATCGAATTTGAGCTTGATAATCCAACGAGCTCAAAATTATGCTCAAATTTAAACTCGAAACTTTTTTTTTTTGTGACGAGAAAGCACTGTTTTAGTGCCCAGTGAAAACCCTGGTCGACCTAACATGCAACCCACACCAATTTACACGGGCCAACACATAAGACTTTCACTGATTGCCAAGAAATTCGAACCAATGATATGGGCTTTATTCAGCAGGCTCTTCACCACCCGGACAAACAGTGGTGGTTAAACTCGAAACATGATAATTTACTGATGAGCTCTTAACGACTCCAGCAGGCCGGCGAGTCCGCTTGACTCGTTTTGACCGAACGCATCTCTCTGTCAGGTGATCTGATGCAATAATTTGCCATGACTTAGGGGCGACTGCTACAGTAAAGCGCAGGTTACTGTAGACAGAGAGATCTCTGCGTTCGGTCACCTGACGCAATAATTTGCCCTAAGTCATAGCCAAACACTCGCTAAAGCTGCTATAGCCCTAGGCAACCTCTCGCGTTCTTTCTCTAAGCGAAAATGGCAGATAGGAAACGAGACAAGGAGAAGCTTAGAGAACGTGACACTCGCGATCATCGAGACCGGGAGCGAGACCGGGAGCGGGATCGCGATCGAGATAGAGATCGAGATCGCGCCCGAGAGCGAGATCGAGACCGAGACAGGGACCGCGAAAAGCGGAAGCGCTCCCGCTCGCCAGATCAATATCGTCGCCGTTCTCCATCTCCGGATCGACGACGCTCCCGTTCCCGCTCGGAAGACCGGTCTCAGCGTCGGCACGGCCACCACCGTCGCTCCCCGTCCCCCGACGCCCACCGCCGCAAGCGGCGGCGCGATGGAAGCGATGATGACCGTGAGTCCCGCCGCCCCAAAGGCTCCGAGGCAAACGCCGCCAACGGAGCCGCCAAGGATTCGAAGAAGGTGGACACTGCAGTTGGCGGAGGTGATGTGACAATGGAATTCACTGAAGTGGATAGTGAAGAGATGGATATGATGAAGATGATGGGGATACCGGTAGGTTTCGACTCAACAAAGGGTAAGCAAGTGGCTGGGGCGGATGTTAGCGGGGTTCGTGCTGTGACTAAGAGGCAGCCGAGGCAGTACATGAATCGAAGGGGCGGCTTTAATCGACCTTTACCTTTGGAGCGGAATCGCTAGTGATTAGCAGGAGGTTTGGGTTTCCTTTCTTTGTATTCCAATCTCTTGCTTGTTTCAAGTGTTAGATCATTCATTTCTTTTTCTTTGTATGTGGAGTTGAAGGAACTTCATCGGTTACTCTAGCACTCTTTTTTGGTGAACTGAAACTCGTGAATGTTTTGTTACAGCATACAAGTAGAAATTGTTATGTTGCTCCCACTAACTAAGCACTTAAAAAATTAGTTACTATTAGTTAGTTGCTGCTACGTTTTTGACTTTTTAGAGGCGTTATTATATTTTGCCTGGATACTTTTTATTAAGCTTCATTTGAAAAAGTCTGTTTTGAGGTAAGTAATTGGAACGCAATTTTGAATTAAGTGAAAAACATTGAGTTTCTAATTATGGAAATCTCATTCATAATGATTAGAAATGAATTTCAAAATGAGGGCTTAAAAATTACCTTTGATTTTGGTTGTTGCAAATATAATAATAGAATAACATAAACTTCATGAAATTTGAGTTAGAATATCACGTTTACTTATAATTGTATTGGAGTTTTATAGAGTAATGAGAGGTGGGGAAAATGTAGATTCACTGAAGCTTAAACAAATGCAAGAACTTACTTCAAAAAGTGAATTTATGCAAAACAAACAATGGTCACTAAAACTTAAATTGGTGAAACTCACCTCCAAAACTCAGCTTCAGGTGCTTCCAAACAGTTACGTTGAAACTAACAAGACCTTAGTGGGGGACAAGATAGGTGAGGGGCATCTTTTTTGGTTGTGATTTAGATTCTCTCTGTAAGTTTTATTGAAGGGATAATATTATTTTTTCTGTTTATAATTGAGCTGTAGTTGCAAGACAACACTAGAGGTTAATTTGATTAGTGGAAAATGGGATTGAAAGGAAAAAAAATATGGAAAACTTTTTTTTTGCATGAATGCGAAGGCGATTGTCATGGTTTATTTATGTTCCATGCTTTTAAATCACAATTTGTAATCCTCAATAATATTTTCCAATACATCACTATACTATCCATTTTTTTTTAATTTTAATTTAAGATATTTTCTAGACATTTCTAACTTCTATGATTATGCTGGTCTAATTCATGATTCATAGATTACTCTAAAATGTATGATTTTCTTAGGTGCTTAGTTAGGATCATGTTGATTTTCATGATGTACTCATGATTCATGTTAAACAATTTATTATGCAAAAAGAAGATCAAATTTGTTATCAAATTAATGATGAACCCATAATGAAGAACTTCCTTTTATGATTTCATTTCTTGTCTTAAATTTGCCGTTGGCATTGCTTGTTTTTCCTTGAATTCACTAGAGGAAGCTTATTGATTCTTAAGCTCTATAGCTTGGGAGTTTCAAATGAGAGAATTTTATGAGAGTCTTGAGATTCATTTCGAATGACTAGCAAGAAAAATGATATGAGAGGTGTCTCATTTATTGTGTATTATCACAAAAAGGGTAGAGAGAGGGAGGGTTCGATACGCATGAGAGATAGGAATATTAATTCAAAAATAAGAAGAGGGAATCCTAATTCAAATGTAATTCATTATCTGAAATCAATTACAACAGTTAAATCATTTTTTATAAACGTATGGTTGCATTTGAAATCAAACTAATTTAAATTAACATCTAGATAAGCCTAAAAAATCCTATGATATAATTTAATATAAAATAATCATAACAAATTCATTAAATGATTGAATAAATATACTTAAATAACCTTAAGTATTAGAATAATTTAGAGTAACCTGATGCATGTCTTATATTGCATTAAATCTCTTGAGATAGATATAACTTATTTTGATGTCGTGCATAATCCCTCTATTGGAAGTCTATCATTGATGGAGGAGATAGCGATACTAGTTTATAAATATATCTTGTATCAATAATATTTGCAACCTGGACGTAGGAATTTGGTGGTTTTGGATCTAGGCATTACAACACATCACACATCTTTGTTTGATTAGTACCATATCTTATAATAACATGTTGGTGGTAGTAGTGGCAAAATACACTATAATTGTATTTTTGGCAAGGAAGCACGCAATAATTTTGAAACAAGTGGAATGACATCTATATTCAAAGAAGAATAATGCAAGAGCACTAGAATTTATGGAACCTATTTCTCCATTTCAATAATAACAATTATAACACTGAAAGCAGATATAGAATTGTGTCGATTTAGATTTAGAGACAATCTTAGGCACAACCTTAGGTTCATACTCAACAACGAAATTAATTATTGATAACGGATCATCAAAAAGATTATCTACAGAACCCAAGACCACAAGAATAATCCTGATAGACCAAGTTAGCACAAGGATCATTGCTACAAGAAAATTAGGCATTTCTGGTTTCCAATCCATCACAAATCTTGAAGTTTTTTTTATTGAAAAAAATAATAAAAAAAGTTTTTCATTGACCGCATTTTTAGTCTTTATACTTTTTTTGTTAGACTTGCTAGAAAAATTTAGGTGACGTTGACTTTGGTGGAATTTGTGCTAAAATTTTTTGTCAAACATTCCATCAGAACAGTGGCAGATGGAGGATTGGTTAAATTATTGGTTATCAGTTTACTTGCAAAAATTCATTTGTAAACCATTGAAATATCTGTTAGTATTATGGTTATCGATAGATATTCAACTGATTATACTCTTGGTTATAGTGCAGTGAGATCAGTTTAGATGATTAATTTGCTGAAAACCTAGAACTTCCATTCTTTTAGTTTATATTTGAAAGCCTGTTTTTTATGATTTTTCTGTTGTAAACTTGAATTCTTTTGAAAACAAATATTCTCATTTTTTATTTTGGTCATCTCATGAGTTTAATCAACACAACTCATTATAATCAAACATATCATAGGCAACACAATTAATTACATAAAACAAACATGAGTACTAAATCAAGTTTCAATCAAACATGGTCAAGAATTGAAGTCAAATAAACAAATTGCTGAAGCAAAAGCTAAAATTAGTTTTTTCTTTCCTTTGCTCTTCATCACTCTACGCACTCTATTCATCTCCATCAGTCTCATTCTCTTCTTCTATTTCTTTCTTTCCCTCCTTGGGTTTGTGCTGCAGCAGGCAGTGGATACTTCATTTGGTGTAGAACTCCTTCAATTGTAGCATCTCTTTGCTTTTTTATTTCTTCATTGAACCGAGCTTGTATTATGTCAGTACTTCATTTGGTGATGTGCTCAGTCATGGAAGCTACTTGGCGTCTCATCATCTCTTGTAGCTCCTCTTCTATATAAGTAGGATAGGAGGCAGAGGACTGAGATACGCAAGCTACGCCTTAGAAGTTTAATTGATAAACTCTTACTTTTTATTTTTCTCTAGCTTCCTCTATCCACAAATGCAAATTTGATTATAGAAATGCACTTGAACTTAATTCTCCTGCATAGCCTTGACCTGTTTGTATATCCTTCAATCTTTTGAGGTCCTATAATAAACTAATATTCATGAACTTTTAGAAATATAATTTTAATTAACCTTTACCTTTTGAAAGTATTCACACTTACATAAACTCTCTAAGATCTTATATCCATCACTCCATCTATTGTTGGCTCTCTGGTCTATGGTGGGCGAGGCGTGGAGCTCTATCAGATCTCTATCCAAAATCTTACATTATTAATTTATATATAAATGTAGAAAGATTAAAATATTACAAATTATTTTACATGGGCATTATATGCAAGCTACTTTCCTTGGAGTACTTCCCCCCGATTATATATATATATATATTAAAATCATCAATTGTTGCCTTCACTTGAGATTGTTTTCAGGAAATGGCATAGGTAAGCGCACTTTCAATCTATCATCATCATTAGACTTATTCAAACTATTAGGATTAGCATTATGAATCCTCATTTTTTCATATTAAATGTTGTTTGAGTTGCTAAACCTATTCTTCAAAAATAGTTTCTACAATTTCTATGTATGTAACCTTAGGTCTATTTCATTTTCCTTTCTAATTCTCGAACACTGATTCTGTTGATGCATCTAATTTGCATATTTTTTTAATCCTTTATTATGCATGTCTAAACCACCTAAATTTATCCCACGTAGTGGGATAAAGGCTTTTTGTTGTTGTTGTATTATACATGTCTAAACCACCTAAATTTATTTTTAGTTATCTTATCTGTAATATATCTGTCATATATCTAAATTTATTATAATTGCAATGGATAATTCAAAGAGTTTTGTGCATTTATGCTATAAAGGTTGTTGAGCTGCAATCAATGTTTATTAAAATTGTTGAGCATTTTTATTAGAGCATGCTCTTCAATAATTATCTGATAAATGATATCTCAATTTGTCAGCCAATAAAATTGGTATTTTATTTTGATATCTATTTGCTTGTCATCATCTTATTGTATACGAGTAGTTGAAACGCCATTGTTTACGTCGACGTTACTATACTTCGATTTATACTTCCATGTGATGTCCAATTCTAATTGTTAGGTTGGAAGCCTCTGTTGTATAAATCCATCCTCACTTTATCATTCTTGTAATTTTTTATTTGTTTAAAACAAAGTCACCTAATTTTTTTCCATTTTTATAAATATTTTGTTGACGCAACTGAAATACATAACTCAACTCTCCGCAAAAATTCATTTATTAAACATTTTCAACTAGTAAAATGACTATGTTGAAGACTATGGGTTTCCACACCATGGGATCCAATCCTTTTCCACCTTCATCTACCCATCCCAAATTTTCGTCCTAGGTAAAAGAGCAATGAGTTTCACTATATAGCCAATCATAGTATAATCTATTGAGCACACGAATTAAGGAGTATAACCATTGGATATTCTCTCGCTGTTGACCTCATTTTTGTATAAGGTTACTTGGACCAATCCTGACCTTAAATCAATTTAATCTCCAGACCAATCTAGACTCTAGAATTCTTCTAGTCTCTAGACCTTAGGATCTACTTAGATCTTAGATCAATCTAGACTCAAATTCAAGGCTAAAGGCTCTACGTTGAAAGCCTTTTCAAAGATTTTTCA